TTAAAGCAACTGTGGTTATTTTGCTCATAGGACTTGATGAGCATGAATGTATAACTGTAGTTTGCCACTGTGATCTGTACAGTTCATACAGCGTATTATTCATATATTTTTGTATGTTCTCAAAATACTCTGGAGACTTTGAATATTCACCCATACATTCCAAATCGTCATTGTTCTTATAAATATCATCATCAGTAGGCGTTTGATAACTATTGGCCATTGATGCATTTTTCTCTGCCAGAGGAGCTGCATTAACTGCCCGCACATCGACCGTAGTTTTATATTCGGCTCCTATACAGTTTGGAAATTTACTAAATGAACATGTAGATGCTCCCATAATAATACTAATTCGTCTTCTTATTACTTTATCATTATACATTTCAGTTACGCGAACTTCGTAGAAGTCAATAGAACCACTTGGTTTTACTGGTTTATTCCACAACATGATATTTTTCTTATTGTCATTCGGTCCAATAACGGGCGGCGAGGGAGCTGGAAGTAAAGTAATGCCAATTTTAGAGATGCTATTGGAAATTATCGTGCAATTACTTTATATAAAAGTAACAAAGATTTTCTATTATACTTACTGCCAATTGCCGTTACAAAATGAACATCATTACTCGTTTCTGACCTTTCGACAGTTTCCGCCAACACATACACTTTGTAGGCCGTAAAACTCTCCAGATTCTCGAGAAGATACGTGCGTGTTGAAGCATTCACTTCGATTTGATCATTATTTAGCATTATAATGTATTTACGTATTTTACCATTTGGATAAGTTGGTTCAAACCACTTTATTGTTGCACTGGTATTGGTAATACTTTCAACGCGCAATTGCCTAGGCGGAGAGGGAGCACCTTCTAAAGTACGAACAATTTGCGGATCACTTGGTTTGCCTTTTTTAGTACGCCAGAACATTAACATAGTTACTTTATATGTAGTGAATGGTTTTAAATCTCGAATAAAATATTTTTTATCATATTTTCTGGCCAATTTTGAGATGACTTTATTGTTTAGACATGTTGCATTTTCGGCCGTTACATCGTTAGCCACTTCACAGTAGCTTATATTAAAGCCATCTAAGATAGAGGGACACACACGTTCAACACTCCACTGAACTTTAATCGAATTTTCTAATGCCACTAATTCTGGTTCCATTTTAACTAAATCAATATTAACTATATCCATGGAGCAATCTGTCCAGTGAAGGCCGGTATTAAACTTGTCATAATTAGCGGAGACTGCCAAGTTAAGCACACGTTCTTCTGAAGCATTTTGTGGTTGAGTAGTAAAATTTAGCTGGGCAGCAGGTAGATTTTGAAAATGCATCGATTCCTATAACACAATAATTTTAATTATCATTTTTATTTATTATTTTTTTCAACTATAATATATAACTTACTTTGCATTCATTGGGCAAAGCACGTTTGGTATAACACCAATACACCGTAAAGCTTAAAAGTCCCGTTAACTTTTTAGGGTTTCGCCATGTTAAGGTGTAGGTACGATTATTTCCATGATATACATTATGTATATCGAGAGGAGTATACTCTTTTTGATTCCTTTGATTTGTAGGATAAATAATTAAACGACTGGCCTCCAGTGATTCTCCTACATGATTTTTACTACGTATTTCAAATTCGTAATACAAATCTTTTTGCCAAAAGAACTTGGCAAGGTTTTTCTCTTGGTGCCATGGCTTTAAATCTCTGCAAAAAAAGTTTGTAGGAAAAATTGATTTTAATTAAAAAATAAAACAGTTTTCAATCTATGTGAGAGTTTGCAAATAAATTGGTTTTAAATTAATTTGCTTTTCGTTGTAAATTATGTTTACATTTATATTCACTTATTAAATAATAAAGAAATCATATTATCTAACAAATTGTATATCTATATTTTTAATGAAAATTTGTTCACAAGAATTTAAAATTCTTAAGAAATGTTTTTATGTGTATTGTAAGTACGAGAAGTACACGTTTGTATTGTGTTCTTTCTACACAGTGTTTTGGGTATTTGAATTCTTGGAATCTGTATTAAATATGTACATATGTATATACATACATATCTATCTGTATTGAAAAGAATCATGAAAAAATAAAAATATTTCCCAATTTCGAAAATTTGTTTTAAAAATGTATGGTTTTTTAGTATCTCTTTAAAATTCAAAATAATTTTAAATACAATACATAATAAACGAATTCAAATCGCACCTATAAAATAATTTCTAAAACGTTACTTACGATAATTTCCCATCAGGCTGTATTGCTGTTATTACATACGTAAAATTGCTGCCATTATAATCCTGTGGCAATAGTTCCTCCCAATAAACTGTAATACGAGTTTCTGTTGAATCAATATAGAAACTGCCTGGCTGAACACGCGGTGGACGCTGTGGTCGTCGAGCAGCTGTACGAAATTTATAAACAAACTGTTCACTCCATATGGCATTTGGATGACGGACACGAACTCGTATCATCAATTTATAATGCCAATATGCATAAGGTAAATTATTGAGCCGCAGTCGTAACTCATTGTGCTCGCGTACGGGCGCTTCGCGCGTCAGTATTGTTGAGTTTTCCGGTTGCAATAGAACCTCCCATTCTAAACCTTTAATACGATACTTTTCCCAAGTTGCCATTTGCCAGGATAATTTAATGCTGTCCACGGTGAGACTTTCAACACGCATTTTCTCGCCTGGCTTGTCGGGTATCATTATTTCGAAATTGTTTATATCAAAGCGTTGGATTAGTGGTTGTTCGTTGGGTTTGACAAGAGCATTTCTCGATTCAATTATAAAATGATACATTTCCTGATAACGTTCACTCAGCGATGTATTGCAAACAACCAGATTTCGATCATCGTAATTGCATCGGGGCTGATAAATGTAACTAGCGTACTCATTGTAGTAAGAAACATTGTAGGTAGTTAGTATGGGATTAGCTGGCTTAGTGAAATTACAGATCATATGATCAAAATCGTAACTACGGCATGAGAAATCTTTGACAGGTCTAGGTTTAGAACCCACAAACACTTTGGTCTCCATTATAGCATCAGGCCCACATTTACAACGATATTCTGTTTGTTGCTCGCTGGCATTATGTACCATGTATATGATGGTGGTACTATTAACGGTGACAATATTTTCTCGCGGCAACTCTTTATTTGTTCGGCCAATTACGAAATGCAAACAAGTGGAATTTATACCGGGAAAAGTTTTTGGGTTCATATAGCATGTTATATTAAAATCTTTTCCAATAGCTTCCTCTACAGTGATGGGTATAGTCTCACCGGGATGGTTATACATTCTATTAGCATCTACTGACATTGATCTATTGCAAGATAACAGACCTGTTGTCAGTAGTAATATGAATATAAACATGTACTCATTAATGTTATTAGTCATTTTATTTATATTTAAATGTTTTTATCACGTTTTGTTGTAATATTTGTATAAAATACTTTTATCCGTAGCCTTTTGGCCCATTAAAGTCCTTTACGCAGCCCCTATAAAGTGGCTTTTCTTTGTGTATGTGTTGAGTTTGAATTTGTTTTTCCAGGAAATCCGTTTAATTTTAGTGTGTTGTTTTTCTTGGAATTTGAATTTTAACTACCAGGTATTTTCACAATTTTCTAGCCAAATTTGTATAGTTTTTATAACTTTTTTGTTTGGATATTATTTTTAATGCAGTTATTTCTTTATTTTTTAAAGTTTTTATTAATTTTTTTGTTTTATGTTGCACTTTAATGAAGCACTTAAATTTTCAAAATTCTTGGAAATTTGTATTTGGTAGTTTCATTGTTGTTGCTTTATATTTTTTGCTGCTGTGATTTCTACTGTGTGTTTACACATGCGAGCGAGTTGTGTGTGAAAAATGTTATGCGACAGTTGCCACACTGTAATAATTTATTTTAACTTTTAATGCTGCCAGGTGATTTATAATTGGCGATATGACGACTTTTGTAATTTCTAGAGAAATTGACTGGTTGTATGACTATTGGTTACCGTTATACTACGGATGTTGGATGTTGCGAAAGCGAATAATAAATTTTATTTCTGACAAATGCAAATAGTATAGGGCAGCGAATTTTAATTTCAATTCGCTAAGATTTAGCAAATGCGAATGTAAAAAAGTAATTCGAATTCGCATATTTGAAAGCGATCATTCGTTACATCCTTACGCTATATTTATTTTCCATTTTATATTTAGAAGATTTTAAAATATTAAATACACATAAGTCAAAATGATTATTATAGTTTAAGTTTGTTAGACAATATAAAAAGCAATACAAAAATGTCCGTCCGTATGTAGGGACTTTCCGACATATCAAAACTGTCGGACTTGGAGGGGTCAAAGTTGGACATTTTGGTAACTTTTCAGCTATTGGTCCTATCTATTTCTTCACTATTTCCAAAAAAAATTAGTTTAAAAAACAAATTTTTTATTTTTTTAATGGGCCCTTTTTTGCTCAAAAGAAAGCTTATACAATTTCCTTTAAGAGAGTCCATTTTGAAAAAAGAAATTTAAAAAACTATAAATTTTTTTGAAACCGTGAAGAAATAGCTGTCTCAACTGCTTTGGACAATTTTTCCTAGGACCAATTGGTCATTTAACAAAAAAAAAACCTGTATGTATGACCAAAATGTCCAATTTTGACCCCCTCTAACTCCGGCAGTTCTGGCCTACTATCCAATGGTACTAACCTTTTCAAAAAATACCATTTTCATAAAAATACTATGCGGAATAGTAAAATTTTAAAGCGCCTTGGCGACACAGCAAATTGTTTGACTCAAACGGTAAGTTTTTTGATTGTGTTTGTAAAAAAACTCACACCGCATATATACATGTGAGTTTTTTTCCACTAACACAATTAAAAAACTTACCGTTTGAGTCAACAAATTTGATGTGTGGCCATGTCGCTTAACAGCTGAAGTATGTATAAAACTTCTAAAATCTGGCCACTTTAGGCTACCAGATTATTGTAAGTTTTAATACGGTAACTCTAAATAAATTGTAATTAATTGTTTTGATAGGTGCACCAATTTCTCTTTAAATTGTATTTAAATAATAAAAATAAAAATACTTATATACAAAATTGACTAGCACTATGCAAGATTCTTGCAGAACTTGCATGATACAGTTTTCCCAAACAAAGACAAGGGGAAATGCCCAAAAGCAGAGTATTTTTGAAGTACCAAAGAATTGCAAAAAAGGTGCTAACATAATGGAACTCCTGCAAGAGGTACAGCCACAAATAAAAGTGGACTGCGATGATTATCTACCCAAGCTTATGTGTTTTGAATGTATAAAAAAATTATTGGTGTCATGCACGTTTTTAGAGACATACAAAAATTCAGACAAAAAATTTCGTGAAATGTTAAAAGAAGCTAATGATAAAGGCTCAAATGATAACTTTGAAATGATAGTTGAAATTGACCATAATGTTGAGGTTTTAGAAAACGAAAAGCGCAGAGATCCAAACATAGATAGCGAAAATGATGCCTTAGAGTTTGTTGATGAAATATCTTACGAAAGTGGAAGCAAAGAACAAAATTTCGAAAACTCATCCAGTGATAGTGATTGGACTATTTCTAATGAATGTTGGTTAGTATACATATATAACAAGTTGATTCATTAAGTTTTGGGATTACATTTAATTTTTGAAAGTAATATTTGACATGGCTTAGGTATAAAACAAAATGAATTTTTATTTACTTTGCAGTCAAAAGAAAGATTTAAAAAAAACTACTGTTATTACTGTTTATGACGGAGTAGATGAGATAGAACTTACTAAGTTGCCCGATGAAAATGAAGATGGTGGGGTTCCATGTCAAGAATGTGAGGCTGTATTGAAAAATGTTACACTCTGGAGACAACATATGCGAACGAATCATCTTGAAAATATTCCCAAAACAAAAAAATCTAACAAACCGAAAAGTAGTAAAAAACTTAAATGTGATTACTGTGATAAAGGTAGGCTGTGTTTGGTAAAAAGTATTGAGGAACCCCAAACATATCTGATATTCCCACCGAAAATGAAAATTTATTTCATTCTAAGATACGGTTTCTGAAAATGTTGGTCCAAAAAATTCTAAAATTTTAAAAATTTTTGAACTAGCACCGAACTGTATGGCACGCCATTTAAAGCGCCTCTCAATCACCTTTCATCTGAATATATAAAAATGAACGTGTGTTTGTATATTTGAAGTTTATAGATGGCTAAACGGCTGAACCGATTATCTTGAAATTTTCCCAGGTAATGTAGTATAAGTGGGCGAGGTACCACGCCCACTTATACTACATTACCTACTATTGCAAGCTAAGAACAAAATGGGTATATTGGAAAAACTATAACAGCAAGAAGCCCCAAATTTTGTACAAGTAACATTAGTTTCAATATAAATATTTTGGACCAAATTTGGGCGAACTAGCAATAGTGAGTGTAGCACCTCTCATATCTGGAAATCTATAACAGATAGAGCCCCCACCTCCATTTTTTACTTTTTATTTCACCTGGCACCTCCATTTTTTACTTTTTATTTCAAAATACTTTTGAAATGCCACGCCCACATACAAAATAAGTATTATATTGTTTAGCTATAGATCGGTTTAGGTTAAGAAGGGTTACACACCATAGAAACAACGGTGTATATGCATTTAGAGACCATAAGGTCCATTGTGATTCCCACTCAAGAAGTGAAGATTCAAAAACAGAGAAAACAAAGAACACTACAACAAGACAAGAAAATAAGAAGATAGGTAAAGAGGATATATGAATAAAAAAAACGAGTCTATTCCTAAGGGGATACAAACTATAATGACTGGCAAGTTCACCCTAAGGAATAAGTAAAGCTATAGCTAACACAAGAACAACAATTTTGAGAAGTGATATCTTAGAATGAGACATGCTTTTATATTTGATGCGAATAGCAGCACCATTTTTTCTCCATACAAATGGTGCCATTATACATACATACATATCGTATATGTTAATGAAATTTTCAATTAAATTTTTTATTTAAAAGTATTTCCAACAGCAACAAGATGTAAAAGTCATATGCGAGTGCATACAGGTAAAATGCCAATCATAATGATTATCATCGAATTTCTAAAAAGTTATTTTTTTATTTTCAGATGAAAAGCCCTATTTATGCATTGAGTGTGGAAAAAATTTCAGAGGTCTCAGTTCATTAAAAATACACATGTTACGTCACAAAGGCGAAAAAAATTTTGAATGTCCACAATGTCCCAAAAAATTTGTATGTGCTAGTGGTTTATATAATCACGAGAAGATACATTCTAATGAAAAACCATTTGTATGTGATATTTGCGGAAGCGCCTTTCGTATGAAAGATGATTTAAAAAAACACGAACGTTGTCATAAAGGCATTAAAAAACATAAATGTGATTTTTGTGAAATGAGGTTTCTTACTACTGAAAAACAACGCCGACATATGCGAACACACACGGGAGAAAAGCCATATCGTTGTCAATATTGCGAGAGAGCTTTTGCCCAAAGTAATGATTACATCAAACATTTGCGACAACACTTGGGTGATAATGTTTATCAATGTGAACTATGTCCGTTAAGATTTCCGTTAGTCAGAGATTTGCGAGCACATTTTGTAATTCATAAGGATGAAGATGAAGAAACTCGAGCACGTAATTTAGCGGCTCGACAGGAAGAACAACGAAAATTGGAAATTAAATTGGGTGTTGCAAAAATAGAAAATGCAGATAAGAAAATTGTCAAGTGATTTGTCGTATAAAGTATTTTGGTAGAGTTTTGTAAATACATACATGTGTATGTAAAAAAATAATTTATAATAAATATTAAAGAAACATTAATAATCAAAAAAATTATAATACTTAATTGTGCATAAATTTCATTAGATTAACTTTTGTAAGTTTAAAAATTTAAAAATAGTGCCATAGAATACTTACATACTGTACTTCTTACGTACAGGTCCTATTTTAAAGATGATTTGATATACATAATTAAATACAAATGTTTTATTATGTCTTACGGACGAAGTGTATAATATGAGGTAAGTTTGGAACCATGAATTCACATATCCCCTGTAAAGAGTTATACATTTGTTAAGTAGGCAGTACTCGTGATGAAATTTTGAAGATAGGTTTATATACCCATAATCGTATGGAACAAAATGTTCTTGAATCTCACGTATTCCACATTACAAATTATATATATTTTAATTGCATACTTTAAGGCGCCTATATAAAAATTGTAGAAAACGTCACTTTCAACCGATTTAAACCAATTGAAAATTATATTTAAATAATTCTGTAGAATTAATATGACCAAACGTTCAATTGAAACTCATTTGAGTCATATGCGAAAATTACACATATTGTATTCATAAATTTATAAATGAACTTTACTTGAAAACCAATTTTTTTTTTTTAATTCTTTATTCAAATAATCGAGCCCTAGGGCCATATACGATTAATGCAAAAATTTACAATTATATAATGAATAAATAAAATGATGGAAATTCATTAGTTAAATAAAATCAAACAAACCCTTATTGGGAACGAATATAACAAAAAACATAGTAAATGTTAACAAATCTTTAGTTATTCATCAAAGCTAATATCTTATGTTTAAAGGTGTTTTTGGAGAAATTAAACCTTTTTAAGTTAGAAGGTAAAGAATTCCAAAGTCCACATGATCTTACCAAAAAGGATCTTTCAAATGTAGCGTTTGTAATTCTTGGCAACAGTAATGTAGGATTCCTAGTAGATCTTGAAAAATGGAAAAGATGTAATAAAATTCAATTTCAACACCCGCAATTTGAAAAATCATACATTTTGTTGGAAAAGGGATAATATTGATTGTTTTTATATTAAGTTGCATTAAGTCTCACATTTTCATCCCGGTTTTTCAAAATCTTTCCAAAATCCCGCTTTTTATCACTCGATATCTTTGAAAATAAAAATCATTTTAAAACATTGCCGGCTTATACCCGATTTTAAGTCGCCGCCTTAATGTTTGTCGGCGTATATAAGATTGTTGCAGAATTTCTGTGTTGTCTAAACAATTGTTTAGACAACGTTGTCTTGATAACAACGTCATTTTATTGTAAAATTTGTTTAGAATTTTGTTTTTGTGCAATCAAAATTGATTTTTAACATTAGTTTTAGTGAAATTAGTGTTTATTTACAAAATTTGCATTTAATTTTAATTGTTTTTATAAAATATAGCATTATTTCAATAAAATTATCAGTGAGTTGTCGTGATAAAATCAGCGTTTTATTACCCCTATGTATTAACATAAACAAAAAACTGACAATTTTTCTGCCGACGTTTTGTCAAGTGCCGTGATAAATATTTCTCTAATATAGACATGGGGTAATCAAAAAACTTTTTTTTGTTTACAAACAATTTTTAGAATTTCACAAAAAATATAAAAACATTTAAATATGACTACAAAATCTGCCAAATCCATGCAGAATTTCTGCAGAACGTGTATGACAAAGTTTTCAAAAACACAACGAGAATGTGCTGTAAATAATAAGCAGAACATCTATGATGTACCAATTGGAAGACAAGATACCAGTTTAATGGAACTACTGCATCTGGTACATCCTAACATTAAGGTGGAAATTAATGATAATCTTCCAACCCTTATGTGTTCGAATTGTATTAAAAAATTATTAATGGCCCATGAATTTATCGAAATGTATAAAAATGCCGATAAACAAGCCCGTAACAAGTTAAAACAAGTTGAAGCTTCCAGCAGTAAACACGATGTAAACCTTTTTTTAAAGGAATCCATAGAAGTTATTGGGACAAATGATAAGATTGAGGAGGTATTGAATAAAGAAAAACTAGATGATATCTATGAATTAGCCAAGTTAGAAGTTGAAAAAGTAACTATTGAAGAATTGGAAAAAGAGGTAATAGATGTAAACGATTGGCCAGAATTTGGTGAGCCACTGCATGATATTTCAATGGAAGAAGAATGTAAAGAATATTTCACAAATCCCTATAGTGATGAAGAAGAAGAACCAGATAAAGATTTATATTTTTCAAATCCCTATAGCGATTCTGGTGATGAATGGACACCTAGTGATTCTGGGTAGGTATTTTTAAAGATTTATTGTTTAGTAACCAAAAAAAATGTCAAAGTACTTTTAAAGTCAAAGCCTTACGTAAAGCAATCAAAAAAGATTTAACAAAATGTAAAAACGGACCAATTAAGAAAATTACATTTACGCGAAATTCCATTTCCACGGATAAATACCAATCAAAATTCCTATTATTTTTTATGTATCTTAAACAGGATATTCGGCAATTGTAATAATTGTATTTGTAAATTATTACTTAGGAATAATAGTGTTGTTTCCATTCAGACTACTTGTAGTACGGTGATGAGACTAATGGTTTTTGTTAAAAATTGTTGTTACCATCTGGCTTTGTAGAAGATTCATGAATGCTTTTGGAACCAGATACTTTATCGATGATTTTTGTACGAAATTGCTACCCTCGGATTTAGTTCTAGGGAACTATGAACTAGTTTTTTGAAACAGTTAAAAAAATATAATTTATTTGAACTATTTATATGAAGAAGCACATAAAAATATAAAACATATTATGAATTGAATAGTGATAGTTTATTTCGACTGGTTAACAGATTTTAAATAATTGAAAATAGTCGATTGGTTCTTTTCGAAAAATGTATAAAGTGAAATATGGAATTAATGAATTCCACTTTCGATTGCAATAAAATTGTAAATAATATAGTATGTATAATCAATGCTAACTACCGTTACCGTTAAAATGTCGTTTCGGTTGTTACCGATGTGAAAATGATAAGGTAGGTAGATGTACAAACAACTGTCGAGCAGCTAGTAGTAACAAAACAATTAATAAAAGAGTATTTTGCTTTAGTTGGCTCAATGAAAATTTCCCGATATTGAAAAATTTTACCTTAAGCTTCACTTTAATATACACACATTTTCTATATTCTGGGCTATAATATTTTTAAAATCTTTTTTATTTGAAATGCATAACAGTAACGAATAAAGTAAATATCCTCAAAATATTTTGGTAAAGACCAAGCAACAATACAAGATACATTTTGAAAGTAGTAACAAAACCATTTTTCATATTGTATGTGTTGTTGCAGCGAAAAGAAAACTTTTGCAAAGATCACCACCCGAAAACGAAAAGTAAAGAATAAAATAAATAAAAAAAACACAAAAGAGATTTCTTTTAAAAAAAAGGAGATTAAGAACATTTCTAACAATAACAAAGAGGATGAGGAAAAAACTCAATCGCCTATAGAAACTGAAATTGGTAGTTTTCCATGCCAGAAATGCGACACAGTTTTCAATAATGAACAACTCTTGCAGGAGCATATGCGATTTCATCCAAAAGCTCGAAATGGCAAGGGCTTCAAATGCGAAATTTGTGGCAAAGGTACATTATTAAATAAACAATAATTTCAATTAAAATATATATCAATATATAATATTACTTTTCTTTCACAGTATATTCGCTAAATACATCATATACAATTCATATGCGTATTCATACAGGTGATTTACAAATAATTATTGGTTCTTAGTTACTTAGTTAATGTTTGTTATTTATTAACAGGTGAAGAACCATACTTGTGCATAGAATGTGGTAAAAGTTTTAAAGCTTTGAGTTCTTTAAATACTCACATGTTATGGCATAAAGGAGAGAAAAATGTTCAATGTCCACAGTGTCCAAAAAAATTTGTAACTTCAAGTGGTTTATACGGTCATATGATGGTGCATACGAAAGAAAAGAAATTTGTATGTGATATTTGTGGAGCAGCCTTTCATATGCGCTATATGTTAAGAAACCACAATCTCTATCATAATAATATTAGAAATTATCCATGTGAACATTGTGATAAAAGATTTGTAAATGCAGAAAGACAACGGCGACATATGCGTACACACACGGGAGAAAAGCCATATCGTTGCAAATATTGCGAGAAAGCTTTTGCTCAAAGTAATGATCATATCAAACATTTGAAGCAACACTTGGGCGAAAATGTTTATCAATGTGAACTGTGTCCGTTAAGATTTCCAATGGACAGAACTTTGCGAGCACATTTCGCTACACATAATAATGAGGATGAAGAAACACGAGCACGTAATCTAAAGGCTCGTGAAGAAGAACAACGAAAATTAGACATTAAATTAGGTGTTATTAGCGCAGAAAAATAATACATTGTATGTATGAAATTGATAATTTCTTAATTGGTTTAAAATAAATTATTATCTAATCAATTGAGAAAACTTGAGTTTTAAGTTTAATTATTGGGATATTTCACTCAAAATATGTAACTTAATATTTAAGCATACTTGCTCACAAAAGGAAAACTAAAGGGCTGTTCCTCTAAATGTGAACAAAATTTTCTTTCTTATTTTATATTGAAAGCAACAAAGAAATTCGAATTTTTGTTGTTGCTATTAATTATAAAATAAGTTCGCTTTTAGAGGAACACGCCCTTAACATCACAGTCCGAGAAATTCTTAGCCCAGAGACCAAAGTATACCTTTCTAAAAGATTAAACTGCGCTGAATCCGAATATGCCCTTAATATGGCTCCACATTGTGTCGTGAAGTTTGAAAATCGCCACTTTTGACTCAACAACCAACTCAACTGTATGCCAGCTATAAAATAAAGGCTTAACATCTGACATATCTTCTTTCTTCTTCGAGATATCTTCACCTAAAGCTTAAAATAAAAATAAATTGACAAATACTGAAAAAGATCGAAGATATGTCAGATGTTAAACCCTTATTTTAAAGCTGACAAGCGGGTCAATTCTTTAGAAAAGTGTAACTTGGTCTTAGGGTTGCTGAGTTGAACCGTGTCATAGCAAAATCACCTGTCCAAGCAACTTTGTAGAGAAGAATTATATTTCTAACTCTTCTCTCTCACATAATATTAAAAGTTGCTTAATGTGAACCGGCACTAATATAAATATTGTATATCTTGTTGCAGCGATAAAAAATCTTCACCTAAGATTACTATCCGAAAACGAAGAATAAAACTAAAAATAAATAATGAAACTCCAACACAGAATTTTTCTAAGAAAAGGGCCAATAAGAATATTTCCAACAATAAACCACATGCTAAGAAAAAAACTCAGTCGAATATAGAAAATGAAAATTTTGTGAGTTCTCCTAAGAAAAACGATGATTCGAGTAAGAGCATTTCCAACAATAAAGAACAGAATGCGGAAAAAGCTCAGTCGCAAATTGAAAATGATAACTTTCCGTGTTCTCCTAAGAAAAATTATAATGAGAAAATTCCCAACAATAATGAACAAAATGTGGAAAAACCTCAGTCGCCTAAAGAATCGGAAAATGTTAGTTTTCCATGCCATAAGTGCGACACTGTTTTGGATAATAAACAACTCTTACAGGAGCACATACGATGTCATCACAAGAAAGCAAGAAGTCGAACCGGTAATGGCTTTAAATGCGAAATTTGTGACAGAGGTAGATTATAAGATTAAATATTTTTATTTTAAAGTATGCATATTAATTCAAATTACTTCTCCTTCACAGTATATTCACGAAATTCAAACTATAAAATGCATATGCGTATTCATACAGGTGATTTACAAACAATTATTGGTCATTAGTTACATTTAATATTTCTTTTTTATTACCAGGTGAAGAACCTTATTTGTGCATTGAATGTGGCAAAAGTTTTAAAGTTTTAAGCTCTTTAAATACTCACATGTTATGGCATAAAGGAGAGAAAAATGTTCAATGTCCAAAGTGTCCGAAGAAATTTTTAACAACAAGTGGTTTATACGCTCATATGATGGTGCATATGAAAGAAAAGAAATTTGTATGTGATACTTGTGGAGCAGCCTTTCATATGGCCCATATGTTAAGGACACATAATCTCTATCATAACGGTATTAAAAACTATCCATGTGAACATTGTGAAAAGAGATTTGTTACTGCAGAAAAACAACGGCGACATATGCGTACACACACGGGAGAAAAGCCATATCGTTGCAAATATTGCGAGAAAGCTTTTGCTCAAAGTAATGATCATGTCAAACATTTGAAGCAACACTTGGGCGAAAATGTTTATCAATGTGAACTGTGTCCATTAAGATTTCCATTGAGCAGAGATTTGCAAGCTCATTTCGCAACTCATAATGATGAAGATGAAGAAACTCGAGCACGTAATATAAAGGCCCGTGAAGAAGAACAGCGAAAATTAGACATTAAGCTAGGTATTAAAGGTCCAGAAAAATAGCGATTAGAAATTAGATAGATAATAAAAATTCTAAATTTCTTGTCAAAACCTCAATAACATCATGTTATCTATTAAATATGTATGTATGTATAAGAAGCAGTTTTAGTCTAGGAAAATAAGGGGTTTGCTGAGGAATTTTAGATAGCTAAATGAAAATTGGCACATAACTTCTCTTTACCATTGTTCATAAAATATTAAAAAGTCAACATAAAGGTAACAAAAATCTGTTTTATACGAATATCTCGCTTATTATACATCGTACGCGTTCTGAAGCTATTATAATTTGTATAGAAAATTAAATTTCCTGCATTCTAAGCTGCAGAATATTTTTTCATATCATTAGTTGTTTTCGAGATATAATGCATTATTTTTCCATTGCAATGGTAATTTTAAATCTTAATATTTTTAACGCCGATATAAATTTGTCATAATTTTTCTTTCAAATCTTAGCTATAGATACATATTGTGTATGACAATTTTCAAAATATTTTCTTCTAAAATCCCGCTTTTCGATAACTCGGATACCGATATTATTCAATATCATTGAAAACTAGGGTGATCGACTCGGTTTTTCAACCGGGTTTTTCTGCTTTACCAGGTTTTTCCTAAATGTTGATTTATCGAATATCGAATTACCCGGTTTTTACTTTTTAAAGCCCGGTTTCGAATACTTTTATTTGCTTTGTATTCAACGATTACTTAAATTAAATTTTAAAGTTAATAATACAGCCCGTCTACATTTTAAAAATATTGGAGTCCAGGAACTAAAGTATATTTTTCTAACGCGCCTATAACTAAACTTTTTCGATTTTCCTAATTAATTAAAATTTACAAATTAACATTTTATCAATCTTGAGATTATATTCCAATTACAATAAATAATTTGCGGCTAAAATATTATGGAAGTGTTGGAATGCCTATGAAAATTGTCTAAACAGGGACTTTAGAATAAGCTAGGATTATATAGTTCCTTATGTTTAACAGAAGCCTCCCACTTTTTCCATTTTTTTTACATTAAAGAAATAATGCAAATTAGATGACTAGATATAAAGTTATAATCTTTTAAAATGTTAAAAATCAGTTCGGGCCATGTTATTTATAATGAAAAACAGGTTAACCGGTTTTTTTCTGAAATTGTAAAATGTCAACCGGTTTTCGAACTATTCCAAAACAGGTTTTTGGAAAATGTCGAATAATCGATCTATTAAAAACTTGCTTAAAACTTAGTCGGCTTACAGACTATTTTCAGACGACGCCGAAATTTTTAGTGTAAGTCGGCGCGTTGATTTTTGACGGCGCAGGACTCTGTTGTTGCACTATTTTTTTTATTGTATTTACAATACAATTTTTACAACTTAAAAAGTTATTATTTTGTTAATGTAAACAAACAATTTTATTAATATGAATACAAAATCTGCTAACAATATGCGGAATCTCTGTAGAACGTGTATGATGAGGTTTACGAAACCCCAACGTGAAAGTGCTATTAAGAATAAGCAAAACCTTTATGAGGTACCTAATGGAGGTAAAGATCACAGTTTGATGGAACTCCTTGAAATGGTACATCCTGACATAAAAGTGGAAGTCAATGACCATTTACCCATGCTAATGTGTTTAGATTGTATTAAAAAATTATTAATTGTTCACGAATTTATCGAGATGTACAAAAACGTCGATAAACAATTCCGTAATATGTTAAAACAAGTTGAAATTGACGACAGTCAACGGAATCTAAGTCCATTACAGGAATCCATAGAAATTATTGAAATAAATGATCAAGATGAGGAGGTATTAGATAAGGAAAAAGAAGATGATGCCTATAAATTAACAGAGTTAGAGGTTGAAGAAGTGCATGATGATGAGCTGGAAAAAGAAGATGTAGGCGCAAATGATTGGCCAGAATTTGATGATGAACCAATGCATGAGTTTTCAGAGGAAAATGAAAATAAAGAATATTATTTCACAAATCCCTACAGTGATGAAGAAACTGATGAAAAGGAACCATTTTTTAAAAATCCCTATAGCGATGCTAGTGATAACGAGTGGAACCCCAGCGAAATTGTGTAGGTATTTTTAAGGATAGATAGTTTAAACTAAACGAAGTGTATTTCGGCCTTATTAATATACATAAATATGTACGTAATCTATTATTACAGCCAAAAGATCAATACTTCTCCAAAATCCATAACTGGAAATAGAAAATCAAATAATGAAACCACTACAATTCCTTATAGTGATGCTAGTGATGACGACTGGACACCTAATGAAACTTGGTAGGTATTCCTAAAATTAAATTTAAACTAAACAAAGTAGTTCATTATGTAACCCATTATTGCAGCCAGAAAAATGCGTCTTCTACAAAACCCAAAACGCGAAAACAAAAATTAAAATACAAAATAAATGACGAAAGCACGACACAAATTTCTTCTAAGAAAACCAAAAGAAAAAAGATGATTTCAAACAATAAAAAGCAAATTGAAGAAAAATCACCATTGCCTGTAGATAATGAAAATGTTAGTTTTCCATGCCAGAAATGCAACATTGTTTTGGATAACGAACAACTTTGGCAGGAGCATTTGCGATTTCATCGAATGGGAAAAATGTGTAAAATGGTTACGAAATCAGACAACTCAACAACTACAAGTCGAACTGAAAGGGGCTACGAATGTGAACATTGTGGCAAAGGTAGATTATTAAATACAATAAAAATTAAAGAAATCGAAATTATTTTTCTTTTGCAGTATATTCCAAAAATACATCATTTAAGGTTCATATGCGAATACATACAGGTAAATCTAAACAATCATTGCTCTTTAGTTATGTACACATACATATGTATTTATAAAGTTTATTTCATTACTAGGTGATGCTCCATATCTGTGTATTGAATGTGGAAAGAGTTTTAAAGTTTTGGGAAGTTTAAATATACACATGTTACGGCATAAGGGAGAGAAAAATATTCAATGTCCACATTGTCCCAAGAAATTTGTATGCGCAAGTGGTTTATACGGTCATATGATGGTGCACAAAAAAGAAAAGCCATTCGTATGTGATATTTGTGGAGCAGCTTTCCATATGGCCTATATGTTAAGAAAACACAATCTCTATCATAAAGGCATTAAAAATTATCCATGTGAACATTGTGATATGCGATTTGTTACTGCTGAAAAACAACGTCGTCATATGCGTACACATACAGGCGAAAAGCCGTACCGTTGCAAGTATTGCGAGAGAGCTTTTGCACAAAGTAATGATTGCATTAAACATTTGCGGCAACATTTGGGCGATAATGTCTATCAATGTGAATTATGTCCGTTAAGATTTCCATTAGCGAGAGATTTACGAGCACATTTCGCCTCTCATAAAGATGACGATGAAGAAACTCGAGCACGTAATTTGCAGGCTCGTATGGAAGAAGAAAAAAATTTGAGAATTAAATTGGGAATTAAAGAAACTTGAATTATTTTTAATTTAATTTTGAAACCATGTTTTATGTAATATATGTAATTAATAATTGTTAGAATAAAAATCTTTTAACTGAATTAAACTAATGTATGTATGTAAGTTATTTAACTAACACGAAATCAATTGCAGACCATAGCGAAGTAAACTTAGTTATGTCCCTCAACATGTTGAAATCAGTTCTGAGAAGACTCTAGATATCTATGATATTTTAAAACAGGTTATTTACTAACTTTCTGTAGAATATCGGTATTTCCATAAAATTTTTCATATATGTATATACATATGTATAAAACTTTATGTTCATTTCCGAAAATAACCTATGAATTAAAAATGATTCAGGATAAAATTTCACTCTAATGTGTTTTGTATAATATACAAATAATTCTTTGAGTTAATACTATATTTCGGGAATTGGATTTCTACCATTTTTGATATACATCTCGGGTTAAAAAATATTAAGGGTTAAAATATATTTAGTAGCTTTAATTAGTCATATAAGGCCCTATGGGCTCGGTTATGTAAATGAAGAATTAATAAAAAAATTAAAAAAAAGTAGTATGTATGTACATACTAAATTTCATCAGATTTCCATTCTTAAACGACTCAGAATTAACATTTTTCTTTACAATTCCCAATCATATTTGAAATGCAGACTTTTCTTTAAAAAAAAAAACGTTTGTTTTCAAAATTTTTGAAGTTCTTTGGACACATCGTATTTTTTCAATTACTTTAACCTCTTGGTTTTTTCATGTAATGCATCAGAAAGTTATTAATCGATTAATTGGAATTTTATTTAAGGAACTCTAAACATTAAAAATATTAAATCATGCTTACTAAAATCTAAAACACGGAATACTAGGGTCTTACCTATCGGATTGCTTATTTAGAATAAAGCGTGGAGATCAAAGCTGCTGTTCCCCATGGAAGTGTTTTATGACCAACTCTTTACCTAATATACACCTCTAATTTGCCTATATACGAAAATCTAACCATTTCCAGTTTTTCAGATGACACTGCCAACCCCAGTTCCCATGTGGACTCTTATGTAGCATCAAGAAAGCTTGATGATTTTCTCAGACTTGTGGAGACGTGGTTAAAAAACTGGAGAATAAAAGTAAATGAATTTAAAAGTAAACATATAACGTCAGTTTTGAAACCAATCTGGACATATGGAATCCAATTATGGGGAACAGCTACCAATACCAGTATAGATCTTATACAGAGGGCCCAATCCAAAATTCTTACAAGCACGACGGGAGCTCTATGCTACATACATATATATGAAACGAGAACCATCACAGAGACTTAAATATATCACTAATCAAGGACAAATTTAGAAAAGCTCGTGGAGCGTATCGGTCAAAATTACATTCTCATCCGAATCCAAAACAGATCAAAACTATTATTTATTTGAGAATAACTTATTGAAAATAATTCTCCTTTGAGAGATAAGTATTTAATTATTTTAGCTTTAAAACATAGTATTTCCCAAAAAATATACAATCTGGCAACACTGCTGAAAATGCAATTTATTTGTCAATTTTATATCAACATAAACAAAAATATTTTCTAATTATCAAAAGAAATTTCTTTATTTTTAAAGGACGAACAAAAATACATTAAACAATGAAAAATGTATGTCGTACCTGCATGCTAAATAAAGCAGACCAGTTAGAGGTGGAACAAGATATGAGTGAAATTGAAATGATATCAATTTTTATTGAGAGCACAATGGAAAAACTCAGCCTGAAAGAATTAATAAAAACCGCTGTACCACAAATAAAAATAGAGGAAAATGACCAATTACCAAAAAGTATATGCCAAAAATGTTTGGACAAAATCAAAGAAATTTATAATTTTCAACAGAAATGTGTCAACATAGAAGAAAAATTCTATAAAATGTTAGATGAAGGCAATTTAAGTGATTCACCCAATAACGCTGAATATCTAGAGGAGCAGCTCATTAAAACTGAAATGATAAATAGATATTTGAGCGAGGATAATTCAATGGATTACAATAATGAACATGACAGATTTACCGAAGATGAAATCAATCGTGTGGATATCAGCAATAATTCTATTGATATATTGTGGCAAGGAGGTGGTGAAAGCGATTGTTTGGAAAGTCCACAACAAAGGTAAGTATTTGTTTTAATTCGAATATTAAAATAAAACTACATAATTTAAAAAAATTCCTTATAAAAAGTAAATCAAAAGACGGAAAAAAGATAAATAGAAGCAAAAGAAAAAAGAAAGAAAATAATATAAAAAAGAAAAGTCCCAACGAAACATTAAAGTCAACATCCAGAAGGCGTAAAGATAAATCAAACGAATCTGAAAATAAAGAAATTTATCCCTGCGGCAAGTGTCAGAGGAAGTTAATATCTAAATTATCATTTATTAAACACCAAGAATTGCACTTGAGAAAGGACAAAGAAGAACAGGAATTAAAATGTAGTATTTGCAACTTGGGTAAGATTAAATTAGAATAAAATATACCTTTGACTAAAATTTCTTCATTATTTTTCAGAGTTTACAGAAAAAACTGCATTTAAAAATCATCAACAAACACATACAGGTAAATGAAATTACTTAATTGAATACATACTTATTCATATTCGCCACATTTGTAAGTATTTCTTGTTTTATAGCCGAAAAAACTTTCTTATGCTCACAATGTGGCAAAGGATTTGCTTCAGCCGGAAGTTTAAAACAACATTCTCTTCGTCATTTAGACAAGAAACTTTATCCCTGCACAGATTGTCCAAAATCGTTTCCTACAAAAAACGATCTCCTTTGCCATTATGAAATTCATAAAGCCAAACCACGAATCCATGTGTGTGATGTGTGTGGACGTGGTTTTCACAAACAATTTTTATTGAAGCAACATCAAAGATATCATAATGACGAAAGACCATTTGCTTGTGAATTTTGTGAAAAACGGTACTACGATTTTTAATTCATTTAAATATGTATATCAATTTAATAAATTTGTTTTTATGTAGATTTGTTACGAGTGAAAAACAACAGCGACATATGCGCACACACACGGGTGAAAAACCATATCGCTGTAAATACTGTGACCGAGCATTTGCTCAAAGTAATGATTGCATTAAACATTTGCGACAACATTTGGGGGATAATGTTTATATGTGTGAATTATGCCCATTAAGATTTCCTTTGGCCAGAGATTTGCGAGCACATTTCTCCAGCCATAAAGACGACGATGATGAAACCCGAGCCCGAAATCTTAAAGCTCGTCTAGAAGAAGAACGAAACATGGAAATAAAATTAATTGCTTAATATCTCTTTGGGCAAACATTTGAAATTTGTAAAAAATTAAACTAATAAAAATCTAATGTTTGTTCGTAATAGATAAACTCAAGAACTACTACATCTAATGGGACAAAAATCAATAAATTTATACATATGTATATTCCAGGGGTCATAAAGATTTATTGTCCAGTAAACACCGCAGCAAGATATATTAATTACATATATACCTACCTTGCAGCGTAGGTTTGATATTCTATTATATTTCGATTTTCTCGAGGTAAACTTAAAATAAAAGAACTGAAACAGAGCTATGATCCATTATGGAATTATATGTACATATCCAGCATCAACACAATATTCCAAGATTTTATGATAATAATACAAAATATGTATGTATATTTTCAAATTATGAGACGCAGATTTCTTTGTATTTATCTTTTACTATTTCGTAAAATGATTTATACATATAGCACATAGTGCTTATGTTGATCATAGCAAAATTTGTAAAGCGTAAAATTTGTAGCAAAAAATATTTAGGTACCGTTAACGATTTACTCGTAAGAGTCATTGTAATACGATATTGTTTGGGAATTATCATTAAAATTAGGGCAAGTTATTAAATTGGGGCAAATATCATAACTGCTCAAACATTTGTTAATTTGGATTTCACTGGACATAGTGATGTCGGATTACAACATTAAATATGTGAGTAGATCAGTCATCTAACCTAACAATTCGGTTTCAAAGGAGGCCCCCGGAATACCTCTATAGAATCGAAGTTTTATACGTCCAATGTAAGAATTAAACTTGTAACACCACTTACCTCTACAAGGAATTACACTTTTAGCAGCTCTTTTATGAAACACTTTTTCACTGTTGCACTTTTAAGCCGAAAATAAACATCAAATTCAAATGCAAATTTTTGCTAGAATCTCACACGCCAACTTTTTTGTTTAAAATATACAGTTATTTTTTACCGCATCAATAGTGTTACCATGTGTTGATTTTAATTTATAATGTTACCCTATCTATTTTAAGTCAAATGGCGTTTTTACACAACTAAACAAGTATGAGTTCTATATTCGTCTTTGCCGAATTTTAAAAATCCTTCACCATAAGAGTTTAAGTATATTTAGTTTTCTAAAATGTAAAGTTAGTTTATTAGTATTACTTTAGCAATAACAAAACAAACAACAAGCCAAACAAAACACAAAAAAGCAAGAAAATATTTAAAGCAATAAAAGTAATACACATCCAAACATAGGTTTTTTTTCAGTAATCAATGTTGTTACTACTTCTGTCAAAACATACAAAACATTTTATTTTTTATTTTGATGAAATTACTGCTATGTAATATTTTTATTTTGGCCTCTTAGGCTTATATTACATGTTATGAAAATAAATAAATGAAATGAAAATGAAATTTTCAGAGGTTGTCTCGGATTTTAGCACATATCTCGATTATTTGTGGACAGATTTTGCTGAATTTAAATAGGAAACTTCTCGAAATCACGTCTGATAGAATTATTGAAAATTTGGATCCCGAAGATATCTGGGGCTTATATCTGTGTCTGGAGTCTTTAGAAAATTGATTTAAATTGATTTTAAAAGGACGGACAAACAGACAGACGGACATGGCTTAATCGACTCTGCTATCTATACGGACTCGGAATATATGTATGTATATATTTTATAGGGTTAGGAACCATTTTAGAAATTACATACGGAAAGGGAAAATTATATATACCCTTCTCATGAAGGTGAAAGGTATAGAAATCCATTTCGAATAATCCATCTCTTGTTAATAGTAATTTTCTACATTATAAAGTGTACAAAAGAGAGAAATCAGAAATATATATACAAAGAAATCAAAAGTTGTCCACTAAACATTTAAATAAAGTCGACTGTTTGTTATATTTCAAATCTGGCATCACCACATAAAGTAATATTTACCCAAACCAAACGTCAATAATTTTCTACTTTGTTAGTTTTGGAAAAGAAAAACTAATTTCTAATTGCTAAAAAAATATATTTAATTATAAATATAACAACAAATAATCTAAAAAATGCCTTTATCCTTTGAAAATATGTGTCGTACATGCATGCTGAATGAAAGTAAACAACAAGAAATGGCAAACAGAAATAAAGTAAAAATGAAAACGCCACAAATGGTGTCCATTTTTACTGTCCCGGAGGAAGCCAAAGAAAAACTTAATTTAATGGAACTGATTAAAACTGCAGTACCACAATTGAAAATCGATGAAAATGATCAGTTGCCGAAGAATGTTTGTGTTGAATGCTCGGAAAAAATCAAAGAAATGTACAATTTTCAGCAGAACTGTCTAAGTAATGAACAGAAATTCTATAAAATGTTAGAAGGAGACGATGATGCCATTAATCCTTTCAATGATACAGAAGACCATGAAGATGTCTTTAAGACTGAATTTGATGATTCGTTCATTGAGGAGAATTCTTTGCAGACTGATGAGGAAATGATTATGGACGAGGAAATAAATAGAGCAGCCGAAGCAAAAGAAGAGTTCATCGAAAGCTACAGTGATTGTAGTATCGACTTAGTTTGGGATGATGATAATAATAGTGATGCAGATTGGAATGAAAAGAAGGTGTCAAGGTAATAAATATATTTACTTGAATTATTTAAACGTAAACTAGAATTTAACAAGTAAGAGTGTTATATTCGGCTATGCCGAATCTTATATACCCACCATCAAACCTCGTTTGACTCGAATGAAACTTACTTATGTCGAATTTCATCTATATACTCGTATATTTAGGCCAGTTATAATCGTTAAAGTAATTTTCTGAAGGGGACCATGTATAGGGGGGTAGGGTCAATTATGGGTCGATCCTCATAAAATTTGGTAGATAGAATTTGGTTCGTATTAAATTTATTTGTGTCGAATTTCATCGCTACACTCGTATTTTTAAACCATTAATGAGCGTTGCATTCATTTTCTGAAAGGGGACCTTATATGGGGGGTAGGGTCAATCATGGACCGATCCTCATAAAATTTTTTAGATAGATTTTGACTCGTATGAAACTTACTTATGTCGAATTTCATCTATATACTAGTATTTTTAAGCCAGTAATGAGCGTTAAAGTCATTTTCTGAAGGGGACTTATATGGGGAGTAGGGTCAATTATGGACCGATCCTCATAAAATTTCGCATATTGATTTTGGATCATAAGAAACTTACTTATATCGAATTTCATCGCTATATTCGTATTTTTAAACAAGTTATGGCTGTTAAAGCTGCTTTTCGAGGGGCCACTTGTATGGGGGCTATCCGAAAACGTAGACCGATATTGCCCATTTTCAATACCAAACAAACCATACCTATAAGAAATATTTATGTGAAATTTCAACCCTCTAGCTCTTTCCATTCGGTCTCCATCGTGCTTTCAACAGACAGACAGACGGACGGACGGACAGACGGACAGACATGGCTAGATCGTCTTAGAATTTAATGAGGACCCAGAATATATATACTTTTGTGGGTCTATGACCAATATTTCTATGTGTTACAAACGGAATGACAAAATCAATATACCCCCCATCTTTTTTGATGGTGGGTATAAAAATATGCAAAGTACCTACATACATACCTACGTGAAATTAGTTTCGAATATAAACTAAAAAAACGTTTTTATTGAAATTTAGCAAATCATTTACTGTAAGAAAGCATGACAGAATTCATAAAAGTCATTTAGAAATTTGAAGAAATCTTGTGTAGCATTTTGTATACTTTTCTTTAAAAATGTTCTGGAATATACATTTTCAAACAGATTTAAAATATTTTATCCCTTTGTAGAAAAAATCCGAAAGAACCCTATTTGCATTATAAACGCAACAACCTAACTGGCATCAAATTCAGCGGAATTTGATTTATTAAAAATAATTGTCATACATATTTAAAAAATTGTTCTGATATATTATGAAATATATTTACGAAAATTCTTAATTTAAAGCATAGCTGTAAAATTTCGATTACGAATAATAATCAATTAAATTATTTTTAAAAAATAATCGTAATGATTATTTAATACCCTGGTATAAAATTTCTGATTATTAATTGATTACGATTAAAATTGTATTGTAGTTATAATTGTATAATAACAAATTAAATAAATAAAAAATAAATAAATAAATTAATCTAAAAATAATCAGGATTAATTAGAATTAATAAAAATAATCAAAAATAATCAGAATTAATCAAATAATTAATTTGATTATTTTCAAGGATATTTTTGATTATTTTTGATTAATTTCAATATATTTGGTACAATTCTCTATCTTTTTACATTACGAGTAATGGAAAACTGTTTTTCTAGTTACACACTATACGATTACATGACTATTTTATTGAAAACAATATATTTATCAAGTTTATTTCGATTGAAAATCTTGATCTCAGTACAACATATTAGAAAAAATTACTGCAATCTTTTCGAAATGGGTCTCAAAAAATCCGTAATTTTTAGCGGATTACCGGAAAAATAATTAAATTTTTCTTAGAGTGTTTTTTGGGAGGAAATTATACTAAATATATGGAAAATAATCAAAATTAATCCTTGAAAATAATCGACTAATTTTTTGATTTAGTTTTTTTTTTTTTTTTTTTTTGATTATTTTCATTAATTCTAATTAATCCCTGATTATTTTTAGATTATTTTTAATCGTAATCAATAATTAATTAAAAATATTGAAAATAATCGTTAATTAATCATTAATTTTACATTTTTAATAAAAATAATCTAATTAATAATGATTACGATTATTAATCATTATTTTACAGCTATGATTTAAAGTAATATCTTGAAGTTTTGAAATTTGAATGTTAATAACAAAGCATAGCCCAGTTTTCTTTGGTTAATTATTAAAAGTTTATTTCAAACAAGTTTGAGCTTTAAATAAATTCTGAATTAACTTTCGAATTATCGAATAAATCTTAAAAATGATTATGTTCTGAAATATAATATAAAAGCAACTTTTTTATATTATATTACTAGTCAATCGGCTAATCAAAAGATTATCCTCAAACCAGTAAATAGTCTTGTTTATTGACTAGTTCATAAACTATACAATAAAGAACAAATTAACCTATAGAGTAGTCCATAGACTAAACCTTAGACTAAATAGACTAGTCCTAATACTATTTTTTTAGTAGTTAATAGCCTTGAATAGACCACATAAAAGTGTCCAAAGTTAAAATTTAAAAGCTCGAATAGATAAAATTGTTTTATTTAAACATTTTCAAGTATCTAATGTATTCTATCTATCAAAATAGCTTTAAAAGACCTTTAACAAATGCAAAACAGTACATACTTTTAATTGTAAAAATATTATTTTTCGAAGAATTAGTACTTTTTCTAATTTAAATTTTTCATATTTTGTTCTTAAAAATTTTAAATAAAAGAAATTGACCCTAACAAAACTTAATTTTTAAGAATAGTCTTAATTTAAAGATTCATGAAAAAATTTCGAGCATAAGTTCGAATTTAATTATTATTAATACTTACATATTTAAATATAACTGAATTATCACATATTATTTTTAACTAGTTTCCATACATTTTCGGCGATAATATTTAGAAATAAATTTTCATCGATACGGAACACATTTTCATTTAAATCATAATCTAATATTTATTATTAAGTACATTTTTAATTAAAAATGCATAACTTAAAAATGCATTAAAAAAATCGGGTGAAAGTTGTTTTAAAAAATACTTCTTCGTGTTCTAATTATATAAATTTTTTTCTTTGTGAAATAAAGTTTAAAAAAAGTTCAAAAAATCTTTACTTTATTTTTCATTATTTAAAGTAAATTGAAAAAAAGTAAAAAACACAAAAATGAACTGGTTGGTGATGAAATATTCAACGTTTTTTGTGCGGATGAGAAAAACGAAGATGATGATGAAGAATTTAAAAGCAGTACAACAAAAAGATCAACAATAACAAAAGAAATTAAAACTAAAGGAAATTATCCGTGCAAACGATGCAAGAAAATATTAAAATCAAAAGATTCATTATTAAGACACGAAGGAAGACATGAAAAAAGAGACAAAGAAGGACGCAAATATGTATGTAACATTTGCAATAAAGGTAAAATAAGAAATTAATATATTTATATATAAATGTCTTTAAAAAATAATAATTGTCTTTAATTTTAGCATTTCATTATGGTTCTGTATTGAGGGAACATCAAAGAAAACATGTTGGTAAGTTTAGCTTTTAATTAACAAGATATGTATGTGTGTATGTGTCCATAACTGAAGTGTCAAATTAATACTATTAGGCGAACGTCCTTATCTGTGTTCGGAATGTGGCAAAGGCTTTACATCGGCGGGAAGTTTAAAGCAACATTCACTACGTCATTTAGAGGAAAAACAATTTCCTTGTCCCGACTGCCCCAGGTCATTTCCTACCAAAACTGATATGCTCTCACATTATGATATTCACAAGGCTAAACCCAGAAATCACATTTGTGATGTTTGTGGTCGTGGATTTTACAAGCCTTACTTGTTAAAACAGCACAAAATGTATCATAATAATGAGAGACCATTTGCCTGTGAATATTGCGATAAAAGGTAAATTAAAAAAATTCAAATAATTGTTTTATTACATTTTTATAATTATGTTTAACTTATAGTTTTGTTACACACGAAAAAGTCAAACGTCATACCCGCATTCATACTGGTGAAAAGCCCTACAAGTGTAACTATTGTGTGCGAACATACTGCCAATCAAGTGAATTAATGAAGCATTTACGTTCACATTTGGGTGAAAATGTTTATCAATGCGAATTGTGTCCGGTTAGATTAAAAACCGTTAAACTTTTACGCAGCCACTTTGCAACACACAAAAACGATGACGAAGAAACAAAAGCTCGCAATTTAGCCGAACTTAATGCATTGGAGATGAAAGGCATGTTTTTCAAATAAGAGATCCAAATGCAATCAGTATAGTATTTATTGTTTGTACTATGATTTATTATTTTGCTAAAATTTCTAAATATTCAATTCGAATATATCTAATTTATAATTTATAAACTTATGTTTATTTTTAGTTATTAAATAAATATTAAACGATTCTTAAATAAACTATAATGTATACATCTTTTTTTTAAACTTTATTAAGCAAAAAAATAATATATTGAAGAAAAGAAAAATAGCAAGAACTGCAACTAGACAGATGTGCAAGGTATTCAACCAGGTTCCTGAAAATAATAGGTTTCAGATTCCGATAGAAGGCAAATATTATAAGTGAAGTTAGCTATTTCTCTAATAAAACCTTATAGATTAAAAGGGATGCACCCTGAAATATCCCACAGTTCGTCGTGGAACTTTAGAACATTAGCAGATGACTCAACTCTCTCTAGTTGCTCAACATCCTCATCATATCATATTGTCCCACTAGCCAAGAATCGAACCTAACCAGTCAAGAATCGAACCTAACCAATTCGTTCAGATTGCTAAAAGATCGCCGCTTGGAAGACTCTGGCCTAAAATTCTGAAGGAACTTTTCATATCTGTATCAGCTGTAGAAGCCGACACCTTTGCCACCACTCAAACAGTTTATTGGAACTAAGCCAATTATCCCTACTTGAAAACTCTACCATAGTTGTAACCCTGAATTGTAAAATCGTTAGTCTATGATCTAAAATTCCACAAGGAAAGTTAACCTGATAAGTAGACCTATTAAATACAAAATTTTTGTGAGATTGTCTCGCGAGGTTTGACTAACGAAGGCTACTTAATAGAGTCTTTAGCCCTTTATATAATTAGCTTATAATTATGAAGCTATTAAACATTCCAAAATCGCGTTTGCCTTTCTCATTACCAGTATATGATTAAGTATTGAAATTAATATGTTATAGTTTTTTTTTTCAAATATTTGCTAAAATTGTTAATTTGATACCATGTGATAGACATATTTAAAAAAACAAAACTATTTTACTTAATTTCTCGTTATTTAAAGTAAAACTAAAAAAACAAAACATTCAAAAACACAACAGATCGATGATGATCACTTAAAAGACGATGAAAATATAACGATGGACAATGCTAAACGACATAGAGCAGCTGCAAGAAAAAAGAAAAGCATAAAAGAAAATCCACTTGATGGCCAACAAAAGTTTTATCCTTGCAATAAATGCAAAAGAAAACTGAAAACAGAATTGTCATTTAAAAAACACCAACAAATGCACGATAGCAAAGAACAAACATATAAATGTTCTGTATGCAAACAAGGTAAATACAATGTTTAATAAATACAAAACCAGAAAGTAAATATTAAAATTATTTTAAACATTAATTTTAGAATTTGAAGACAAATCCTCGTTAAAAGATCATATGCGTGCACATAGTGGTAAGTTTCTAATAAATGTACATACATTTTATAATTTATTACACTTTTGCATTATTTTTAAAGGTGAGAAGGTATTTTTATGTCCAGAATGTGGCAAAGGTTATACCACAGCGGGAGGTTTAAAAGAACATTCATACCGCCATTTAAGCGAAAAAAACTTTCAATGTCCTGACTGTCCACGCTCGTTTACCACAAAATCCGATTTGGTCTCCCATCATATTATACACAAAGCTAAACCAAAAAATCACATTTGCGACATTTGTGGACGTGGTTTTCACAAGCCTTTCCTACTGAAAAAACACAAAATGTATCATAACAATGATCGACCATTTGCTTGTGAATTTTGTGAAAAACGGTAAAACAACCTTTAATTTCTGAAATGCTTTCATATTTTAATTAAAATCTTTTTTTTTAGTTTTGTTACGAATGAAAAATTAAAACGTCATACACGCATTCATACCGGCGAGAAACCCTATAAATGCAATTATTGTAAAAATGCCTATTGTCAGTCGAGTGAATTGATAAAACATTTGCGTTCTCATTTAGGTGAAAATGTCTATCAATGTGAAATGTGTCCGCTGCGTTTTAAAACAGTGAAAATTTTACGCGCACATTTTTCAACGCACAAAAACGATAATGAAGAAACTAAGAGACATAACTTGGCAGAATTAAATGCCTTGGAAATGAAAGGAGTATTTTTTAAATAAGCACAAATCAATAATGACTGCCACAACTGTAGCACTATTAAATTTTGCACTTTATATGATAATCGTGTGATGGAGTACTGAAATCATTCTTGGTTTATTATAAACTACATAAATGAATATTAGTTTTTTTTTAATAATAAATATAATTTATTGTATTTAATAAGTTAGCGTAAGCAATTTTGAAAATTAATAAAAGTAATTTATTCCCTTAGTAAATAATTAACTAGATAATATAAAAAACAAGTATATTTTAATTATATTCTTTTTCATTCAATGTTATTGTTTCTGGGTGACATCCTATAGTCTATAGCAAGGATTATAATCTAGTCTATAGTCTTGTCTATAGTCTAGTCTATAATCTAGTATAGTGTATAGTCAAATCTACAATATAGCTTACAGTCGAGTCTACAGTCTACTCTATAGTCTAGTCTACAGTCTAGTCTTTAATCTAGTCTTTAGTCAAGTCTTTAGTCTAGCTTTTAGTCTAGTTTATAGTCTAGTCTATAATCTAGTCTAGCCTATAATCTAGGCTATAGACTAGTCTTCAGTGTATTCTATAGTCTTGTTTATAGTCCAGTCGACAGTCTAGTCTATATTCTAGTCTAGACTAATTTTAAAAGTTTTTGAGAAGGTACACTTTTATGAAGTAAAAGTTTATCAATTTGGTTTTCAAAATTCTTATAATAATGAATTCAACTTGAAATTATTAAAAACTTAATAAAACCTTATATATTTTTATAATTCATAAGAAAATCTAAAGTAACTGATAAATCTGCAATTCTCACAAGAGAAGAAGTAGATGACGAGGTTTTTGAAACACTTGAATTTGACGACGATGAAGATGTTAAAGATGATGGCGATGATGATGATGACGAGGACTACGAGGAGGAGTTTAGCGCAAAAATCTCAACTACAAATAAACAACACATAACTGTTGAACAACTATATCCCTGTGACAGATGCAAACGGAAATTAAAATCGAAATTATCGCTTAAGAAACATCTAGAAATGCACGCTAAACGCGATAATGAAGAACCAAAATTTGTGTGCAATATTTGTGATAGAGGTAAGTATAAGGAAAAGTAATTCAAAAGAAATAAAACATAAAAATATTCCTTTTCAGGATTTACACAAGGTTACATGCTAAAAGATCATCTGCGTACTCATAGTGGTAATTAATATTTCAATCTATTTTTTTTAAATAAATCTAGGTTTTTATAATAAAGTCTTTTTCTCAAGGTGAAAGACCATTTTTATGTTCAGAATGTGGTAAATCTTTTACCTCGTCCGGTAGTCTTAAACAGCATTCATTTCGACATCTCAATGAAAAACTCTTTCCCTGTCCAGACTGTCCGAAGTCCTTTCCAACTAAAACTGATTTGGCCTCACATTATGATGTCCATAAAGCCAGACCAAGAACTCACATTTGCGATATATGTGGTCGAGGATTTCCAAAACCCTTTTTATTGAAAAAACACAAAATGTATCATACAAATGATCGGCCATTTTCTTGTGAATATTGCGATAAACGGTAAGATACTGTTATATAATTTCACTTCAAAATATAAATTTTTATACATATTTTTAGTTTTATTACAAATGAAAAACTACAGCGTCACGTAAGAATTCACACTGGCGAAAAACCATACAAATGCAATTATTGTGAAAAGGCCTACTGTCAATCGAATGAATTAACCAAACATTTACGCATACATTTAGGCGATAATGTATATCAATGCGAATTATGTCCTCTAAGATTTCCCACAGTTAAAGTCGTAAGAGAGCATTTTTCTACGCATAAAAACGATGATGAAGAAACTAAAGCCCGAAATTTAGCCGAACTCAATGCAATGACTTTGAAAGGAATTTATTGCAGATAAATTATTAATTTTATATTGTATATACAGCATTTAAAATAAATGTACTTTAGTTTATGTTTTCCCGTAAAGTTTTTCCTTTCTTGTCTAACATAATAAAACTATTACATTAATTACATTAATTTTTTTGGATGAGATATTAAAGCAATATTGGCTACCGTTACCACTAAAATACTTATTCAGCTCGTTTGCCCTATGTTAGCGAATTAACTGAAATGCCTATGTTTTTTAAGCCATACTTACATATATGCAGAAAACTCTTTCAATTTAGTACCTTTACCGCTAAAATAACGTTACCGAAACATGTCAAAATACCGTCAACAACATACTGTTACGAAAAACTAAATATACTGTTACTGAAATAATGCTAGTTAATGTTACCGTTACCTTTTAACCGTTGAATTTTCTGCCAAATATAAATTTTTAACAGTCTTGTCTATACCCGAGCAAAATTACGTACATCAATACCCAACATACCCGGGTATGTCATACAATTTTTATGGCTATTTCATCTTTTTATACATTTAATAAAACGTCTGTATATAAAAATTAAATAGTTTTTGATCATAAACCATTAAATTTTAGCAATATTTTTAAAGTTTTCTTATTGCTTTCCTGTTAACAAAAATGTCATATGCAAAAACGCCTTCATAACGTATGCAGAATTTGACTTTGTAAAATTTTGACTTCAAGAAGCTATTACTCTGTGACCGGGAAAGATAATTGAACAAAACTAAAACAAATCGATTAGCATTAAAGAAATTGTTTTTGATTTCGTAAGTAGGGAACTTTTTTGCAAAAAAAGATTGCTAAGTCATGGCCAAAAATTAAAACTTAAATATTAAAAATTATTATAATCAGCATAATTTTACTTTACTAAGTCATATACAACAAAAAAATTTATTTCATCGAAATCGGCCCATATTTGTTAATGTTACAGGGTCCACAAATATATATTTATGAATAAAGACACATGACTCTGCATTTGAAACTAAATTTGTTGTTTAATTCAATTTTTTTTCATAAGATACAATAATATAATAATTCTAATAATAAAACATAAAATTTATAATGGAACTTAATTTTTGTCCGACAACTGACATATAATTTGTATACATAACGGGGTATGTTGGGTATTGATACACGAGGCAAAAATAGAAAATCGGTCATAAATCGCTTTAATATATATATATCTACAAAAACATTTAAATATTAAAGGTAAAAAAACCAATTTATCCATTTTTATGTACGCCAATGTCAACTATCATAACAAATAATACGTTTCACCATTAAACAATTTGTTTATTTACTACAAATAAATCTAGTTGATAGAAACAAAATTTTCAATTTGAATAGTTCTTTGCTTCTCCTGTAAAATTTTAAAAATGTTAGATAGGGCTGTTTGCGTTTTAGGTGACGATATATATATCTAACTAATTTTTGGAAAATATATAGAAAACATTACTCTGAAAGCGTAGTAAAATTTCAAGCCGATACGATATATAGACCTCGAGATATATCACTTTAAAAATGAAAAACATACCCGGGTATGTGGCTATTGACATAACGGTTAAATAATTATTTTTAATGATACGGCATTCATATAATATCTAACACGTCTTAATTTTGATTCAATTAGTTTAAATCCATTTTCAACTCAAATCTTTTAATTACAATTTCAACGAACATTTCATATCATGTAATAATGTCAAAAGTATTAACTTTGTAATTTTTCTACGTGTATTTGTTTGTTATTTTTTGTTTACAAACATAAACACAGATATGGCAACTCATTCGTCAATATCTTAAAAAAAGCGGTTGGCAACGTAATGTAAACATAAATTTTGTTTTCCCAAAGTACCGAAAACAATTTTTGTTGCAAATTATTTATTGTTTAATGAATATTTAGTGATTTATTATGAATAGTACAACTATTACACTCTTGGAAAACTTTTGTAGAACCTGCATGAATGGAGAAGTTGAAGATGAAAAGGAAACTAAAGACAATAAACGCAAAACAATTTCAATTTTCAATGAACCACAAAGTAAGGAATGTAAAAATATAACAATTATGGAATTACTTATGCTTACAACACCACAACTAACTATTGAGACGGATGATATGTTGCCCAAAACTGTATGCGAAAATTGCTTGGAAAGGCTTGTAAGTGCTCATGAGTTTCAGCAAATGTGTATAAAAGTGGAGGAAAAGTTTCGTCAAATGATTAAAGATGATAAACCAGCAGTTAATTCACAAATTATCACGGATCCCTTAATTGATAATATTTTAAAGATTGAAATAGATGAAGCATTAGACCAAGAGACGCCTCTTGAGCCAAAAAGCTTAAAAGAGGATGCGGAAGATATAAAATTTGAAACGGAAGAAAATCATTGGGAAGACTATAGTGATAGTGATGAATTTTGTGATGTCGACAGTGATAAGGATAGTGAATGGGAGTCTTCGAATAATGTAACAAAAAGGTAAGTTTATATTTTAGATTTCTGCTTTAAACAAACGTTGCAAAGGATATCTCATATAGTAAAAAAGCTACAAGGGCTGCTGGCAAAATGGTAAAAAAAGAAAAAGATTTGACTTCTAGTGATGTCAAAATTTCAAATGATATTGAGGATAAAAAAGATAACATCACATCGGAGACAATTAAAGAATCTAAGAAAAATTCCAAGGAAACAAGTAATACTAAGGATAACGAAAGTAAAAGTTTTGTATGCGATGAGTGTGGCAACCGTTTATCAACGCGAAAAAGTTTAAAACGACACAAACGTATACACCTTAGGCCGGCAGATTCAGGTGGTGAGACTAAAACTAGAACTAAATATGAATGCGAAGTTTGTAAAAAGGGTAACTAGCTACATAAAAATTACGGAAAAAATTTTAAGATAATAAACTTCGTTTTGTAGTCTTTCAGCAATCCAGTTCTTTAAAGGATCACATGAGAATACATACTGGTGAACAGCCTTATCTTTGTTCAGAGTGTGGAAAAGCTTTTAAAAGTTTAAGCAATATGAAGCAACATTTCCTACGTCACGGTACTGACCGACCTTATGTCTGTCAACATTGTCCGAAAAGATTTCCTTGCTTAAGTGATTTAGCATCGCATAAAGTAGTGCATAATAAAATAAAATCACATATTTGTGATATATGTGGTGCGGGTTTCACGAAACCATATCTTTTGAAAAAACACAAAATGTATCATACAGGCGAAAGAAATCATAAATGTGATTACTGTGATATGAGGTAAAATATATACTTCTTTTACTAATCTCCAAAATCTAAAATTCAATTTTCAGATTTGTTTTAGCGGATCAATGTCGTAGACATATGCGCACCCACACAGGAGAAAAACCATACAAATGCAAATATTGTGAAAGAGCATTTGCACAAAGTAATGATTTAATCAAACATATGCGTGGACATATAGGAGATAATGTCTATAAATGTGATTTATGTCCGCAAGGTTTTCGTTTACAATGTGATTTACGTGCCCATTTCTATACTCATAAAGATGACGATGAAGAAACACGAGCACGAAATTTGGAAGCCCTTAAAGAGGAAGAACGAAGATTACAAGTTAAATTCGGACTTGTAGGTAGTACATAGAATAAATCAAAGTATTAAATAAAATTTAAGAAAAAATCCTAAATACAAATTTTTAGTAAAAATGTACTCCTTAAGATTCATTTTTAAAGCTTTCGATGAAAGGTACATATGACAAATTAAATCTAATTCATTTAACTCTTATTCATTATATGTAGAATGTTATATTTAGTAGGGTATTATTAATTTATTAAGCATATCCATCATCTATTTACTTTTTGTTCACAACGAGAATAAATATACATAATTAAAAATATCAACCCGACATGCGATTATCATCCAAACAACTCCAATCGGGTACACGTTCTAGTCTTATATACGCCTCTTTAGTTAAAGAACGAGTATTAACCAAATCGGTACCACCGCACAAAGAACCTCCCAGCCAGTTAACTATGTTGGGACGACCAATAGTTTTATGAAACTTAAATGTTATATCGCCATGCAGTTTTTCTTTATATTCCTTGTCGTTGGCAACTAAATGCTGGAGTTCTTCTTTAAGACGCGGCAATAAACCCATTATAATAGAACTTCCACCCACCACAAAAATGTTTTCAGTTAAAACGCGTCGGATATCGCGTGGACAACGAAGAATTGATTTTATTATTAAATGTGGCAAACTATCACGATCATTATTTTCTTCGAATAGAATTTCGAATGCGGTTTCCCGAACTTTGCCTGGTACGGTAATAATCTCATTATCCGCAATGGGATAATCCACACTGGGTGGAGATTGGGGTGGCTGATTGTTAAGATAGTCCTGAGCTCTTTTTAATTTTGTTACAAAACAAGCACGAACTTTTATATCCTCTAATACTGATTCTGTAAGATACTCTTCTTTTACACCCTCCTGCAATAACTGACGCTTAATTTCCTCATGCAAAGCATATCCACCATATTTCTGATCTTGGAATGCTTGCATTATTTGTACACCACTGAAAACTGGCATAACAGTAGTCTCACTATAACCCATATCTATAACAACTCCATGGGGTACCGCTAATGTGGAAAGGGCAATCATATGTGAAGGCACATACAAAACCGAAGAAACTTCAAAGTGGCGAAATAATGCTTTTGCCAAAGTTTCGCGAACTATTATTTGACCAAAAACATTCTCCACTATAACGATTTTCCTTTCTTTAGGACTAACTAAAAGATATCTGCAAAAAGATACAAGAATTGTAAATAATGCCTAATATTTTAAGCAGCAAATTTCATACTTAAAGAATATAGTTTGTAAAAATTCAATTATCTGATCGTAAAATTCAAGTTTATCCTCATAGTCAAAGATATTCTTTGTTTTGCCATTTACGGACAGAATAACTTCGGATGGTATAATTTTACGTGGATACGCCTCTGCCGCAAAGCCCAGCCTAATAAAATATAGAAAAAATTTATTACCTTAAATGACGTCACTTGTATTACAAATTTTCACGAATCATACTTAGTATATGCAGTTCCAATGTCCAAAACAACTGGAGGCTTCTCTTGCATTACCGTTTCATACAAAGGCATTTTAAAACTTTCTTTGATTTTAAAGTTTTCTATGTAAATCTGTAATGTAAACAACTGTAAATTTTTGTGTTAATTTTTGCAATATATATTAGTTGTCAAAATTCCAGTGTGTAGGTGAAAAATAAATAGCAACAGGGTGTTTCTAATTGAATATTAATACAACAGGAATTGATTATAGTGTGGCCAGAAAACATTTATAAAAATTTTAAGCAATTTAATATATCTTTTTGCTGGCTGTCTGTCTGGCTGTTTTTGTCTGGGCATAAATCCTGATCGCTAAATCACCTTGTAATTTAATATCATTTCCACGGTTTAGCTCACATAAGAATAGGAATTTTTGTCCTCTTGTTATAAGACTTCAAAGTTATATTTTTTACATAAATATAAACTTGAAACTAGAATAATTTTTAAAAGTAGTAGTGTCATATTTAGCGACACCCTAAAGGGGAAAGACGACCCATCGAAGACCTACTGCACAGAAAATATGAAATAAAAAAATTGCATAGCTAACCGATTCCATTAATTTAAAATAGTTTAGTGTAAAAATTTGTTCTTGCACTCATTTGGTTTAGGAGTTACAGAGTCTGTAATACAGATATTTGAGAATTTAAAATATAAAAAATAATTAGTATATAAAATTATTAAACATCAAATATCCCAGCATATTGCACAAAAAATATTATTTACAAGATCTATTCGGAATCCACAAATTATTTTATATGCTATACACAATTCAATATTTGTTGTGCAATCTGATCGTATTTTGAATTTATTACCCAACCAATTTATATTATTTTATATCATCAGTAATGACCTTCAAGCTTAGAATTATTGATCTGTTTCCATCTAATTATTTAGGTGATAATAAGGGTACATTTTTTATCTTATTTTTTTATATAAAATATACCGTTAGCTTAGTACGCAAACGTAACAAGTCCTATTTTGTAAATTTTATAGGAGAAGCAAAAAACTTCACAACTTTTCTTTAATTTTATATTTTTAAAATCTGTAAACGCAGTTTTCTTCTTAGATTTCTCTTTTTTTAATATCAGTTGTGAAACAATTTAAAAATAAAGCAGTTGAATACTTATGCCTATTACACATTTTCTTAGAAATTTTTTAACCCTCATAAATGCATTAAACATATAAGTAAAGCTTTGAAATACTATATATTTAAAACTTTAATGAACTTAAATTACTACACTAATTTTTATGAGTCTTGGTCCATATTTGATCATAGCTCCCACATAAAGCACCCTTGAAAAAATTACTCTAAAGCTTATAACTGTTTTAAAATACCAGAATGGTGATGAAATCCGACATAAACAAGATTTGTGGGACCCAAAAACTATTTAGAACATTTTATGAGGATAGGGCAATGTTTGATCCTACCCCCAATGATTTTAAAGCGCACAACTGGCTTAATAGCGATGCAATTCAACGTTAACAAGTTTTATAGAAACCAAAATTTCCATACTAAGTACTATGAGATTCGGTCCATAATTTATGCTATACTCTATATCATCCCTCTTAAATAAAATCAGTTTTTTTTTTTGCAATATTTACTTGTTTTATTTTATTTTAAAAAGTATTCCATGAATTTGTACTCAATTGAAACGATTTTACAAACTACAACTATTTCCTAGACGTTGATGTACAAAATGTTTGATATTTCTTTTTACATGACTAATTAATGCGTTTATAATAGCAAATTGTAAGGACTTAGTACTTTTTCTTTGTATATTTTAATTGTTTTGAGGACTTAGCACGTTTGCATACCACAACAAAAGTACATGTTTAAAGTAAAAATAAGGTAATTTTTCTTATTGTAACATGTGTATTTCAAGTTATACTACCATTCAGCATTAAAATCTCAATTTCTATAAAAAGTGAACTTTTTACGTTTACGTACTAAGCTAACGATATATGTATGTATTTGTATTTACCATGGTTTAACATATCATTCAAAGAAATTAGTAAGATCTCTCAATGTATATTAGAATATTTTTCAGATTCTGTATTAAAAACACTGTAGATGCAAACAAAATTTAACGAAAACATAATACTCTGAGTCACCCTATTATTGACGAAAGGCTGATTTCTGTTTCAACACAACTATTGAAAAAATACAGCCTGCTGTTTATTTACTTTTTTTCAAATTACATTTTCAATAAAAATTTGTTTATATTTGTTATAAGTTATTAAAATATAATTAAGATAAAATGAGTTTTATTCAATTTGAAAGTGCACGTGCGAAAGATAAAGCTCGGCAGGATCTACGAGAGGCGCGAGAAAACATGCTGGATGAGGCCAAAAAGCGGGCTGTGCAAAGAGCTGAACGTGAGACTGAAAGGCTTTTAAAAGGTGAATCCAACTGGATGTTACCCTCTGTCGAGAAAAAACTAAAGAAAAGAAGTAAAGAAGTTAAAAAATCCAAAAAGAAAAAAGATAAGAAAAGTAAAAAATCGAAGAAAAAATCAAACAGAAAACGTAAACACTCTAGCACCGATGATGAAAGTGATTCAAGTGATTCCGATTCCACATCCGACGATGATTCTACATCTTCGTCAAGTGATGAGCAGAAAAAGCGCAAAAAATCAAAGAAGTCAAAAAAGAAACATAAGAAAAGTTCAAAAAGTAAAAGGACCACCAGTAGTAGTAGTGACACAGACAGTGAGAATACGGATAATGAAAAATCTGAATTTATAGAAATAAAGAAATCAGAGGAACCATTACAAAGAGATAGTTGGATGACCGATTCATTAATGCTAAAAACTTATTCACGAGAGCGAGTAGAAAATAAACCAAATGATAAACAGCAAATTGATGCTTATGATCCGGCAAAAAGTACACGAGAATTAAATCCCTATTGGAAAACAACGGGAACAGGTTTACCCGCATTTCAAAAACCAAAAGATGATGATAATTACACAAATAAAAAATCTGTATTTTCTCAAAGTAACTGCTACTCATCAAAAGGTTGGAAAAAGCAAAGAGACAAACCCTTACCAAATGAATGTTTGGCTCTGCAAAGAAAAAAGTCTCCCTCATCTAGTGATGACAGCTCGTCAACAAATGATGAAGAACCTAAAGGGGAACCTAATAAGGAAATATCCTCTACAAACTCATCAGAATTTTTAACCGATCAACAAATGAATGAATTAGGTGCAAAAATTCTTAAAGCCGAAATAATGGGAAACATGTCACTTGCTGATGAATTACGCGAGAAGTTGGAAAAGGCACGTACCCAAAGAAACATATTTAAAGAACGTCAAAAATCGGCATATCTTGAAGGCAAACACAGTTCAACTAAAGAAGAAAAGTCTGGAAAGAAAGATGAACACATTCTACTGACGCACACTGACCACAAGGGTCAGTCTAGACCATTGCCGGCATCGAAAGTTTTGGATCCCAGAGATTTGTACGGTGGCAGGAAAAAACAGAAGCAAAAACGTGTTAACACCCATGATGAGTCTGGTGAGAGAGTTCGCTACTTTGCTGATGATGATCGATATGATATAAAGCAAATGTTTGAAAGGGAAAAATATACAAGTGCATCAGATGCCAATTTACAATTTGCCAACATCGCTGGAAAACATAAAAATCCTAATGATGATATGGAGGATATATTTGCCGAAAAAATATGTCAAGATGATTCTTCACGCTCCGATCGTAAAGATCGCGATAGAGCTATTCGTGAACATCAAAAGGTTGAGGCAGCATTAGACAATTGCGACAAATGCTTTGATTCAACGAAAATGCAAAAGGAACTACTTGTATGTGTTGGTGAAAATGTATATTTGGCTTTACCTTGGTACCAGGGTCTTCAGCCTGGTCATTGTATGATAATAACAAATCAACATGCAACATGCTGTACTCAAATCGACGAAGACACATGGGCCGAAATAAATGATTTCCGTAAAGCATTAACACGTATGTTTGCTTCACAACATAAGGACGTAATTTTCTTTGAAATTGCTAATCGATTGCACAGACGACCGCATTTGGTCATACATTGTATTCCCATTCGGGAATCAGATGGCGAAATGGCTCCGTTTTATTTCAAAAAAGCCATAGAAGAATCGGAACATGAATGGTGTGTCAATAAGCAACTGGTTTCATTGCGCCAGAAGTCTTTGCGTTCCTCTATACCAAAAGGATTGCCTTATTTTTGGGTAAATTTCGGCATGGATACGGGATTTGCCCACGTAATTGAGGATGAAGAAAGATTTCCGCCAAATTTTGCACAAGAAATAATTGGCGGTATGCTTAATTTAGATGCTAACAAATGGCGCCGTCTTCAAAAAGAACAAAATATTATAACAAAAGTAAAAATGTTTGCGGATTGGTGGAAAAAATACGATTGCACAACATAAATGTAATCACTTGTTGATGGAGAATGTTTTAAATTATAATTGATAATAGTTTTAAGCAAAGTTATTGCTTATAATTAATGAATGCAAATATTTAAAATACACATTGAAAATAAAATTTAGATATAAAAATTCAGATATAATTTTTTTTTTAATTCAATTTATTTCCACAATCGGTTACAAAGTTCTACTTAAAAAAAAATTTCTACTATCAAATCTTTAGTAGATTTAAAATTCATGATATTGTAAAGTATTATCTATTTTTTTCGCAGTTATTGACCTCAAATTAGAAATTCTGTGATTTTTGAAAACATTTATGGAAACTGTAGTTAGCCTGTTAGTTTTAGAGCCCTTACACATTAAATATACAACTCGATTACTAATTGTTCGATGTGGTATCAATGGAAAAATCTCTGAAAAACCCTCTCAATTGATATATATTATTTTTATAAAATGCAATTATACAGCTCCATTACTAATTGTTCGATATGGTATCAGTAGAAATGACTCGGAAATATATTTCTATTGATCCATTTATTAACCCATTAAGAGCCAGCATGGAAAATATGTCGATAAAACGTAACTTGTGTCACATCAAACGCTTAACATATGAATATCCAAAATCTTGTCTACAAAATGTGATGTAACAAAAGTACTTCTATATAGATCTATTTTTGAGATAACGGTGCTTTTCTAAAAAAATTTATATTTGAAATTATAATATTTGGCCCTGGCTCCCAATGGGTTGTTGATATGGATCATATTGTACATTTTTGACTCCTAGACCTGAAAATTATCAAAATTAACTGCATTAGAACCAGTATTGGGATAATGTCTAACGGTATTATGGTAGCAATATGAAAAGGTAGTTTAAAGTTAAGGGCTTAACCCTGACTATTTTATATATTTAGTTTGACGGTAACAGCCTCTGAATAAATTTTCATGAACAAAAACAATAATCTGTTTAACTGATTCACCATATAAATACGCTCTGATGAAGTCATTTTATGTTTTTTGTTACAGTCAAAACGAATATAAATGCTATGGGTATTTTAAACTCTTTTTTTTCATTTAAAATATGTTTATTTTTCTAAATTTTACGTTCAAATAAAAATTCGATTTGCAGAACACCAAATTCGGCTTTAAAAGTCTTTGTCGGTTTTGAAACCGTTTTTGATTTACAGAACAGACATGAGTAGCGTTTTTCATTTTAGCCATTACTGTGTCAATCAGTGTTGTATTTAAGTATAGTTTTTTTTTAATTTTCCTTTTACTGAAATCATACTGATAATACTTAACAATATACACAATTCATTTTTGTTATAAATATATTAAAGTAATCTTATTAATAAATAACAGTTATTATAAATAGGTATTTTAATTAAAAAATAAAGATTTTGTAATAAAAACACATTTTCCAAACACCTCCTAAAATACAACCCATCAACTGTCAAATTTCAACTACAGCTAACTTAACTCAACATGTCCTTTCTTCCGGTTCTCTTTAACACGCAAGGTATGATTATTGACAAAATTCAGAAAATTTTGTAAAAAAATCGAAAATTTTTATTTAGAATTAAGAAAATGTGAATAAAAACGTAAAAATAATTTTAACTTGTGCTAAAGCTAGTGATTTTACTGTGAAATTCTCTATTTTTTCTTACTTTTTTACTAAAAAAATGTGTAAACGTGTGCTCTTACATGCAACTTGAAAATATGTGTATACAATGTGCTTTGTGACAATAAAAATTAATTGTAATTTTTTTGTTTGCAGATGCCTGGCGTAACTGTAAAGGATATCGATCAACACTCATGTGTTAAAGCTGTTGCTGTCTTCTTAAAGAAGTAAGTTTTAAATTTTATCAGGCATGGCACCAATTCGACTTGAAGAAAATTAAATTTCATGTCATGGCCTGTATGAATAATAAATACGTTTCGTTGAGCTGTGTATTAATTATTTAATTTTTACATTTTAGGACTGGCAAATTGAAGGTGCCCGATCAAATGGACATCATCAAGACCGCCAAATACAAGGAATTGGCTCCTTATGACCCCGATTGGTTCTACATTCGTTGTGCTTCAATCTTGCGTCACTTGTACCACCGCAGTCCCGCTGGTGTTGGTTCCATCACCAAGATCTATGGTGGCCGTAAACGTAACGGTGTCCACCCCTCCCACTTCTGCCGTGCTGCTGATGGTGCTGCACGCAAAGCTTTGCAAGCCTTGGAACATGCCCGCCTTATTGAAAAGCACCCCGATGGTGGCCGCAAATTGACCCCAATCGGTCAACGTGATTTGGATCGTATTGCCAATCAAATCGTTGCCAACCAACGTACTGCTGCCAAACAAAGTGGTCCCATTGTTATTTCCAAGTAAACTGAATGTTGACTGAGAAGTCTACGTTTTTTTGGTGTAAACAAAAGATGAAACAATTTTTTAAATTTAGTTTGATACAAGAGAGTTTTCATTAATCGATTCATGGATTAATGTATACAAATAAACAAATAGAAAGTTGATTTAAACTTTGAAGAAAAAAAAAAGACAAAATATATTTATTTATTAAATAGTGCGATATAAATTTACACACAGTGAGAGTATTTGGAAGAATGGCTTTAAAATTAATATAATGGAACCAGGATAAATTTACACTTTTTGTGGATTTATTTACTTCAGATGGCAGTATTAAGCGATTTTGTGTCATACCTTTATATTGAGCTTATAAAATTTGTGACTAGGTTTCTTTGGCATGGAAGAAACTTTCTAAAATCTGCTATAACAACTTTATTCAACTATCAAAGTTCATTTTAAAATTAATTGAGGAAAATACTAAGTTGAGAAGTGTTTTCAATTTTGAATAAAATAATTAATTTATCTGTTACTACGTCTACTGATATAAAGTTTTAAACCAGTTTTAGAATGAAGTTATAGAAGAACTGAAGATTGAAAATAGTTTAAAATTTTGAAGATTTGATGGATCATTACATTTGTATCCTTTTATTAATAGCCTTTAAAAATTATACTTCGAATAAAACTGTTAGATCTGTCACAGAATTCTATTATGATCGCAAGCTAAACTATCTCTGTATTTTAATCCTTTAGAAAACGAAGCTAGCCATATCCATTAAAATAATTGAAACCACTGCCAGAACTGAATCTACATAAAAATTAATGTGTGTTTGTATATATGCTTGAAGTCTTTAGCTCCCTAAACGACTAAACCGATTTTTTTAAATTTTCACAGTGAGTTCTTTTATGCCTGGAAGGAAAAATAGGCTAGAAGTGCCACACCCACTTACTAAATAACTATTAAAAGTAGTATATCTCGGAAACTGGTAGGACTAGATTCCTCAAATATTGCAAGAACAACTTTGAATACACACCAACTATTGCGAACTATTGCTAGCCAATACCAAATGACGTAAATTTGGAAAACTATAACAGCTACGGTTCCCAAATTCCGTACGATAAACTTTAGTGTCAATATGAAAATTTTGTGCAAATATGGGCGTATCATCCATATATAGTTAGTACCAAAATTCGTATATCTGGGAAACTATAAAATTTGGAGTGCTCAAATTTCGTCCGAACCACTTTGATATCAATTCGTATATTTAAATATGGCGGACTAGAAAAAAAGCGTGGTGCTTTCCGTATTAATTAAATACCAAAAATTCGTATATCGGAGAAACTATTGCAGCTAGAATGCTCAAATTTTGCACAAACAAATTTCCATTTAAATTTCATAATAAATTGGCAGATTACGGGACCCTCCTGTATGAATTAAACACAAAAAATCTTATATCTGGGAAACTATCCACAACTTTTGCACGAGCAACACTAAAACCCATGTAAACAGTTTGCGGGAAAATAACCAGACTAACAATAAGAGCATGGGTACTTCCCTTAATTATTAAATTTGTACATTTGGGAAAATATAGGAACTAGAGACCTCAAATGTTGTACATGTTGTAGAGGGCATGACACCACCCTTATGAATTAAATACAAGAAATCTCACATTTTGCACAGGCAACATTGAAATCCATATGAACATCAATAGCGGGAGTTGTATATCCCATATAAATTTAACACAGGTTCCCATATTATCTATTCGGCAACAGGTTCCACTAGAAACGGTTTCTTCATGTTCACGATAATTTTGAGAACAGGTTGCTACTATATCAATTCTATAACAGGTTCCACTAGAACCTTACTTTAGTGTTTATGTGTTTACTATAGCATTGTCGACTAGAGAAATGGAAGTGGGGTTTACGGAAATCGTAAAAGGGTTTTTATTCATATTGTTTCAAGGTTAGCGAAGCATATTGGGTATAGCTAGTTATAAATAAAGAAAACTTGTCTGGTCTGTTCTTTAAATCGAATCGTTTTGTAAAACGAGATATTTTTAAAACCGAATAAATACTTATTTGGTTTTCTTCAAGTTATTCGGTTTGGTATCATTTGAAATTAGTCAGCTTATGATCGAAAAATAATCACATTCTTAATCAAAATGTGTTTACAATGCCCGAAGCAATTTGAAAAATGCATTATATATTTTCAAAAATTTTCACAGTTTTGAATCAATGTTTATTGGGATATGATAGGTTGAATATTGGCAATCATTAAGGCAATTGATGAATTTTAATTCAAGGCTCTGTAAAACTTTCTCTTTAAGTTCGTAATGGTTTAAGAAGTCGCCAATCGGAATTCAAATATTCAGTAATCTATTTTCACTTCGGCTTTTAGAGCCAACCTAATAATGAACACTTTTTTATTCAATTTTTATACCCTACACCGCTTTAATAGGGAGGATATATTGGGTTTGTGTTGATGTTTGTAACGCACAATAATATTGGTTCTATACCGTCCTTAAAGTATACCAATCGGTATACTTTGTTGTATATGGTATATTTTGTGATCCGATTTAGCTATGTTCATCCCTAGCTCTACACAAAGCTCACTTCAGAAAATGCGCGATGGATGTTATTCTGCTTAAATACATTTTGTGTATTTTCCCGCAGTCGCATATAAAGCCTTATTCAGAAAATAAGTTTTTCATCAATAAATTGCTTAAATATCGTATTCATTGAATCTTATCAATAAACAATTCTAAAAACTCATAATTGCAATAATGCGATCCCAGAATAAGAACTAGAATAAAATCAATTTTATTTTGAACCAATATAGAAAGTTTCTATTAGAAACAAACACTCTTTCATGTATTAAAAGATTATACTTTATTACATACTATATAAACTAACTTAAGATATATGTACTAGTGATCTTGCCAGCTTTAGGTTTTTGCAAACCCCAAATAAATTTCTAAACATACAAATTATTTGTTTAAGGATACAGATAAAATACATCAATTCACTTGGTGTACATACTTTATTTCGTATTCCATGTATCCTATATACAAATATGGAATATATTTTGAAATTTGCGGCTGCACAAATGTAAACAGTGCTAAACCCGATCCAGAGCTTCTACCATTACAATGCTGTTACCGCGTATAACTACCATACCAATATTGTTTCTAGTACTATCTTTGCATTCTTCAACCGTTTCATCCAACACAACATTCATAAAAGGATCAAAGCCACGTAATATACCGGCAACGGAGCGGCCACCATTTAATTTTAATAGCATACGTTTGTCCATGTATCTGCAAAATGGAAAAATAATTTTTTTAGTAACTTTATTAAAAAATATATTAACTGTATTACTTTTTCAACTCTGGGGGATGAGCTTTCGACATTTTGCTTTGTTGGTTGTTTTGCCAGAAATTAAAAAATAATATAAAATTCGCAGATTTTTCCAAAAACTTGCAAAAAAATCTTGCTTTTATATTTTAGTACGGCGTGCTACAATGTTGCCAAATTTACTGTTTTCCCGTCAAAACTTGCGTTTTTGAAATGGCAGTTTCGGGGAATAATGCGTTTTTAAACAGCTATTGAAGATTTTTGTTATTTTTCCACCAAATAGAATTGGAAAAACCGTCAATGTTTCATATATAAAAAATCATTTTTCAGTAAAAAGTTTGGGAATAAAGATTTGGGAATAAAAGTAATAACTTAAAAAGTTGTTAGAATTTGTATTAAATGTTTTGGCAAAATTAAATTTTTTTTAAATTTATTATTTTCTTCATTCGGTAATTTAGACCTGGTCCACACTAAGAAACTTTTTCTTGATTCTCTTTTGAAGTTTCCTTAATGTCCACACATGAAAACTTTTGTTTCAGAAACTACGTATTAATTGCATTGATTTGTTGTTGTACGAATGAGAAGAATAACAAAACAAAACAAGTTTCCGAGTACGGGAAACTCCGTACCGCGAGAGAGATGAATGATATTCTTTCTCTTTCACGCAAAATCAAAAGTTTCCCAAAAAAAGTTTCCTAGTGTGGACCGGCAGTTACAAACTTTTCCGCTAAAATTAAAATTTGACGTTTTTATGCGGATTTCATAAAAACAAACTTTGGCGTTTTTTTGGCAAAACCGCGAATTTTTATGATTATGATATTTCAGCGATTTAGAAACCATTTTATCGCGACGAAAATGTTGGCGATTTTTTAGTGTTGCCTTGTTTTTTAAGTATGTACTAAAATAGTATGCATCTCTAGAGTTACCACTCAACAACAAAATAAATACACTTATTTTTAAAAACAAAAGCGCAGTGTGGTTTCTTACCTAAAATCGATCTCTATGAATATTGTCAATATACCTGTTGAATTTGTAAAGGATATGAAGAGAAACTGGCTAGATTTACGGGCAGCAAGAAAGTTGGCTATTATAAATTTCACGGGAAAACATATATGTTTTATAATATAAAAATTGAGGAGACAATATCCTTGGCGAACATTTAAATACACTATATGTATGTATTCCAATACACTATATAATACACCATCCCATTTAATTCCCGGTAATGAATTGGTTGAAAAATCGGTAAGAAATCATTTAAAATAAAGTGTACTGCTATAAATGGACCAAAGAGATAATTAGGAGATTCAGGACACAATTTGGTAGGAATTGAAGAGAATATACTAAGCAGATTAAAGGGAAAACATTATTTTAGAATACAACCCAACATAAGCTGTAAAACTTGGTTCTGTGGGGTTTAAAAGAATTATAATAAAACTCATTCGATTTACTTTCGACTAGATTTGTGTACTCGGTTTTAAAACGAAAAGAAAGAGAAAAATTATTTTATTATATTGTTTGGCCATATTGGCTTTTTCATTACTGAATAAATAAATTAAATATCTTTTTAGTACACTACCGTTACCTCTAAAATAACGTTACCAAAATATGCCAATTAAGCCGAATTAAGCCAAAATACCAATACCTTATCACCGTTTCAAAACGGTTGCCATCATTGTTTAAAGGTCTTATAAACCTTCAGCGAAAGATCTTCTAATAGACCTTCAAGGAAGACCGTTTAATAGGCCTTTTTAAGTAATCCTTCTATCAGCCTTTTAACAGAAGTGAGAAGGCAAGCTCTTGGCTGCCAATGATACGCAATTGAAATTATTTTGAGTGT